GCCCCATCCATGTGGCCACCACATTCATCTCACTGAGTTTGGCATCTGGCTCACAAAGCCAGATGCAAAGCCCACTGGCACTGAGAGAATTTCATTCTTCAGCACGCTGTCGATCAACAAGGGAACATAAATCCTTTCTGTCCTGCCTGCTATACCCAGATCCAGGAGGGTACGCCAGCTCTGAAGCACCATCCAACCTAAACTCAGTACTGCAGGAAAAGTCTGTGAGCTCACCTGCTATTGAGATCCACAGAAGATGTTCAGTTTACTCCCCACAAACCTCATATTTGACAGTTAAATCACATATAGAGTTTTCAGACAGCAAAACAATAGGAGTAAAATGTATTTATTCTCCTGTAGCCTGGCACTGCACCTGAAACCAAGAGGCACACAACTGTGTAGTCATGAAGATACCAGCCTTCATGAACTACCATGAAGCTAACTACAAGCAGAGACTCACTCCTCCTAACTCACTACTTATTCCTCTTTTTTTTCTTTTTTAATGAGGTTTTTCACTGAAAATCATCAACATTTAGAGATCATACTTTCACGAAGATCCATCTTGCTAGATGGACTGCCCCAAATCAAGGACCTTCTTTGACACATCATTTCCAAATCCTACTAGCCAGAAAAAAGCCGTTGCTTAAGTCACTATTAGAGCTGCTCCCTAGACTCCATTATTCATAAAACACCAGGTTTCCAACAGAGCACATTTTAAATAGTAAGCCTTGGGTTATTATTGCCTTAAAATAAATCTCTTAAAACATGTTTTACAAGCACTTTTCAACTCTCCAGTGATATGATAAAAGTGCTTGGGCCTGTGAAAGAATATGCAAACTCCAGATCAGATGCAGAAACCCTGAGTTTCACACATGAGCTTGTGTGCTCACTTGAGGCTAAAGAGGGGCCATGACAAATGTAGGAATCAAAACCTTTCCACCTGTGAGGGTCGCTCCATTTTTCCACTCCCTACCCATCCCTATCTGCAGGCTTCCTCTTTTCAGTTTTATTGAGCATGGGACTAGAAAATGTTTGTATGGACCTGAGAAGCAGATAGGTACGTGAATTCTGCCCCAGAACAACACAGAGAGGCGAAGACGACTGCCTATGGACAAAGCTCAGACCCTCGTCCATGGGAAAAGCACGTTCCTGTCCCAAACTCCTTCAAACCACCAGCATTTAAGGCTCCTACCAACAGGCCTGTGACACCTTCGGGTAAGAGGATGACATTCTAGTGGTGACTTCAGTGTGTGCACCTCCACTTTATGAGAGGACCCCGTAATGCCAGAGGTAAAGCAGAGGAACAGCGTCTCTGAAGGCTTGCTGCCTACATACAACCCAAAAGGGGTAGGGAAATGCTTCAAGTGGAAGCCCTCAATAATCCACACCTTTGGGCAAATAATGAGGTAGGCTGGAAGAGGAGGCTGGTTCTCAGCCTTTCCCCAGCACTAAGAAGCCTCCCTGATAGAAAATATATTCATATAGGAGGAAATAATTACAAAAGGAAAGACAATAGTTGTCCAGAATATTTGGAAAACATGATAGCAAGAGAAAATAGTGAATTACCATCATTGCTTCCAAATGCCTTGCTAAAAATTTTAAGCTGAAAGAGGGGAGGTTTAGACTAGATATTAGGAAGAAGTTCTTCACTGTGAGGGTGGTCAGACACTGGAACAGGTTGCCCAGAGAAGCTGTGGCTGCTCCTCCCTGGAAGTGTTCTCGGCCAGGTTGGATGAGGCTTTGAGCAACCTGGTCTAGTGGAAGGTGTCCCTGCTGCTGGCAGGGGGGTTGGAACTGGATGAGCTTTAAGGTCCCTTCCAACCCAAACCAGCCTGGGATTCTATGATTCTAAATACTAATCAAAAGTGGCTGATCATACAACTCGCATGACACACTTAAATGATTTCTAATGCCAACATTTCTGTGTAACCATTTTAGGATGCTTATTTTTAGCCTTTACAAATGATATAAAAATATTACCTAGAGAACAAAATCTAATAATCCTATGAAGAGAAAATACTTGCTCTGAACCTTACATATCTCATGGAGTGTGAATCCATAGTTCTATTTCTCCTAATTGATTAAAAGAAAATCCATGACAGCCATGACTTTATTTTCATTCCATGATTAAATAGGTATCATGCCTTCATTAGCAAAAATTACAGCTGGGCATAAAACAGATGCCCTAAACACAACCTGCTAGAGTACTTGCCTATTAAAATGTGCTTGTATTAACTGCAACTCATGCCAAATTGGCTACAAAAATGTCACAGTCTTTTTATTAAGGTTGTTACCAGTAGCGTACTTTGAATCCTTTGTACTACTCCATCAAAAAAAATCCTCTGTCTGAATCACCACTTACATTTCACAGCACCTTTGTCAGCTGCTGGAAGCCTGCTGAGCAAATGCAGGACATCATCCTACAACAGTTACTCAAATGATCACAGAATCATAGAATGGTTTGGGTTGGAAGGGACCTTAAAGCTCATCCAGTTCCAACCCCCCTGCCATCAGCAGGGACACCTTCCACTAGACCAGGTTGCTCAAAGCCTCATCCAGCCTGGCCTTCAACACTTCCAGGGAGGAGCAGCCACAGCTTCTCTGGGCAACCTGTTCCAGTGTCTGACCACCCTCACAGTGAAGAACTTCTTAATATCTAATCCAAACCTACCCTCTTTCAGCTTAAAATTTTTAGCAAGGCATTTGGAAGCCATGATGGTAATTCACTATTTTCTCTTGCTATCATGTTTTTCAAATGTTCTGGACAACTATTGTCTTTCCTTTTGTAATTATTTCCTCCTAAATGATTTCCTCCTAAATTTCCTCCTAAATGATAATAGTAAGACCTTGGTTTTGGCACTCAAGTTAGGAACCCAAGACTGACCAAATACACAAAGAGCTATTCACTAGGACCAAGTGCTGATACATCATCCTTCCAAAAGAACCAGTATATCCCATTTTGCAAAAAGATGTAGAATTTAAGATTCCTACCTTGAAGACATCACCAGATGGATCACAGAGGGAGTTCTCACTGCTATGCAAATAAAGCTTTATTTCCTATCCTGGCAAAGGACTAGAAGTATTTCTTGACCCTTAAAAATCTCCTGAACCCTGGGAATTGTAAGTCTGGAAACTAGAAGAAGCAGTTCTTTGATAAGCAAACATGACCTTGCCTGAGAAACAAAACCTGACTGCCTAACAGGGCCTCCTTGATGTCTGAAAGAACAAGTTTATTGTCACCTGCAAATGTGTTTGTCAAGGCATAAAGAAATCTCATTTTGATACCTTTCAAGCAATAGTAGTATTCTGAAAATATCAAACAACAGAAGAAATAAAGGCAAAGAAATTGAGAAAAAGGATCACACACAGAAGTTAAAAAAAAAAATAGAATTGATAGTTATGCTTTGAATTCTTCTGGATTTACACAGCTAAAATCTGCCCTAAGAAATTAAATGGAAAACATACGGTCATTGTTGGCTCTTAAGACATTACTATATAGCAAATTAATAATGCAAGAGGTATATGTCACATACTAGGGAGATTGTAACATCGTGCCTGTATAGATTTACGGGATCAGTGGCAAGAACTGACGAAGCATGCACACAGTCAGGCAAGTAAAACACTCAATAGCCTCCCTCTGTGGAAAGAGAGTTGAGCTATTGCAGTGGAGACAGAGCTACACTGAAAGAACCTTCAAAAGCCTGAATTTAAAGCACTAACTGCTCCTTTTTTGCAAGTGCTACAGCTTTTAAATTAATTTCCTTCCTTAACAACCACATTCATGTTCACCTAAGGAAAAAAGAAAAGATCCAGCACTTCACATTGCAAAAGCTTGTTCCCTATTATAGAGCACAACAGAGAAATGAGGTTTTTGCTTTGTAGGATACCTTTACCTCTATTGCTCCCTGATCACCAACACAGAAATGAAATACCAGCTCATCTTTATGTTCCAAACACAAATATCACTCAGTTACACTAGTCCCTGTATTCAGAATGTCTTATTTCTCTCTCACTTACAAACTTGCAGCCTCCCTAAAACAAGTGAGGTTGTAGCAAGGACAAAATTTACGGGCAAGTTATGCAAAGCCGAACTGTTTCTAGGGCAATGTTTTATAGTCCCTTAGAGCTCCATACGTATTATTTTACTGTGTACTCAAAGAGCATTTATTTACACACGTCTGAGGTTTTCTGTCAGGTTTAAAGTTCAGAATTTTCTCAACTAATCTAATTTGTCCAAGATGGATGGCCTCACTTTTTTCCTTTGGAAAACCAACGCTGTTACACTGTTTCCAATTCTTCCTCCAAAGCAAAACTTGGGTGTTGGCAGCTCCTCCAGAATTTCAAATCCTGCCAGACAAAAATTAAAATGCTTTTATTAAGAAGGAAGTCATTTTCTTCTCCTCTTGGATAACCCTTTGCAAACCATTCTTTATTCATCTGGAAAACTTGCAAGTCAGTTACAAAGTTCATAGGACCATATTGTTATACTGCATCGCTGCTTTATACAGCTGAAATGCTTCCATGGATCATAAAAATCTGAGCTGGCTGACTCACACAAATTAATGGCAGAAAAGATGATAACTTGCCAGTAATTTTAGCTCCCCAGAACGGACGGTTGGTTTAGATCCACACTGAGTTTCAAGCCATGAGGCTCAAGAACTAACCAGCACGTAAAAAACACCCTTTCCAATGGGTAGGAAAGGTCAGTGAGGAGGTGATGTAAAAAGGTCACAGACACAGACTTGCCAGTTCTTCCATATATGGGTAACAACGTTACCTCAATTTTAAGTAATGAGAACTGGATCTGGTAACAAGGGACTAAAAGACACAAAGTATCAGCCAGGTGTAGAACCCCCTCCTTTCCCAGGGTAACTAGACTGAAATCCTCCTCCTCCAAAGTACAACAAAACCTGTTTCTCCCTTGGCACCGGCACACGTAGAAGCTGTAATTCCCGAGGAAAACAGAGGGAAGACAGGCTGAAGCATTTACCAGTCGCTTTACCTTGCTCTAATCCTGATCTGAGGAGGTCAATATGCTAACACAGACAGGAAAATTTACTCATGGCGTCCTTGAACAACCATCAGGTGGGCAGAGGGTTCTGTTCCAACTGCTTACCTTCTCTGAACTCATTCAGCAGCTCCTCCTTGGTCCAGTTGCAAGATGTGATGAGGAAAAAGCCCTCTGGTTTCAATACACTGCAGAGAGATCTGACGTACTGCTTCCTCTTCCCCACCGCGTTATCAGGATTAAGGCTTATGGCATCAAAAGTTCCCTTGTCAATACAAATCTCAAATCCTGACAGCTCAGCTGACGGAGCCAGGAAGTCTTCTACCTAAACCAGAATTCTACAAGTGTGAAAACAATCTTCTACTCAAGAGCTCCTGAATCTTTAATGCAAACCAATACTTTAAAATAGAAAGCCTCCAACCTGACAATAGGTGTGCTTAGGAAAGGGTAACTCACAGGCTTTTCACACCTACAATCCCACGTCAGCTTCTTTCTTCTCTATATATTATGTGATGGATATATTTGCTGCAAAGCCTGTGGATACCTGTCCATGCAAAGCTCAAACTAACAGACTTGAAGTTCATTCTTTAAAAACAAAAGTTATTTGTACTTTGACCCTTGGTTTCTTAGGTGCTGCGTGCTAAGCACTGTACAAATACAGAAGAATAGACTCTTGTACGTCCACAAAGAGATTCCAGTGGACGTACAAGAACAGAGACATCAGACAGGAGGAGAGCTGGGGGAGAAAACAGCGTAGCAGAGAGACAGAGAGCTCAGAATGACAGGCAGTCACAGAATCACAGGATGGCTGAGGTCAGAAGGGACCTCTGGAGGTCACCTGGTCCTACTCCCTGCCCCAGCAGGGCCTCTCTAACTTCCTGCTGCACAGCTAGTGGTAAGGATTCCATCACTTAAGGATTCCATCACTTAAGGATTCCATCCTCTTCTCTCAGATCCAAAATTTAGAAAGTAGCAGTGAAAATACAAATCTTGACAAATGCTGAACCACTGTTCTGCTCCCTGCTAGAAACAGAGAAATCTTTCTAGCCCTGATTACTGTTAAAAACACAAAAAAGAGACCAAAAATCTTCTTGTAAATACAAATTTATTTGATTTATTTCCTCTCACAAATTCATGTCAAAAAGACATCATTAATATAGTACACTGAGCACATCTGAATATCAATTAGGTCACTTAATCTTGGGTTCAATTGCTTTCTATTTCCTCAGTAAACTTTCTCTCAAAACTTACCTTTAATTTAATGTTAGGCATCCCTTCTTTCTCTCTGACTTTTTCTGAAAGCTGTATTGCAGAAGGAGAGTAATCAATCCCAGTGAGATTAGTGTAGCCAGACTTTGCCTAGACAGAAGTAGAGAATCTTAATCAGTGTGCTAGCAATTTTTTTAATCCAACAAGTGTATTTCCTATCTACAATCCACCTCCTCTCTCCTCCTCTTAATGACAGAAAAAAACCCAACCCTTTTACTCATTTTTATTCCCATTACTATTACAAGAGCTAAATAGCTGGGGGAATGAGCTGAAGCAACTCCACTCTGTGTAATATCTCATCAGCTGCTGACTGAAGGCTCATTTATGTCAACAAGTGGAAAACTGAGCAGAACTGTGAAAAGTAATACCCTAGAGCAGAACAAGCTCTCTTATCTGCTCCAGAAGTAACCTAGAAACCAGAAATTTTCAGTGATGGAAACATGTGCCAATGCCAGATGCTTCAAAATAAGAAGAAAACCTTTCTGACACATAACATATGAGATTGAGCAATTATTTGGTTTCTAACCCAAATTGTTAAGAGCTAAAATACATCATACATTTTATCAGTACAGAAATCCACTGCAAAACCTTACATCTTTCTAATTACTCATGCTAATGTCTATCTGGATGCAATTATTTGCATGTTACAAGGTCTTTGCATCAGCAATTTTCAGGCAGGTTATGCACCACATAAAAGAGCTTACAGAGACTTCCTGTTCATCTGACTTTGGAGTAGATAACGATAACCCTGTTCAGCCAACTGAGATCCTAGCAACCTTTTTGCAAAGCAGGAGGACACCTTGCATCAGCTGGAGTTTGGGCACGTAGGAAGGAGGCAGCGACACATTTTTCACTCTGAGGTAGAAGCTGAAGCAACCAGATCTGGGTATGACGTGTGGCAGTTGGTCTGGATAGATCCAAACCTAACAGGAAGAGCCATGATCTTATGGGAAGCTGCAGGCAGCAAAGAGGGAGGAGGCTTGGGTTTGTTTTGGTTTTGAACAATACCTGGACTTTAATTAGTGTTAAGCAATCAGCTGCATATCTATTTGTTCCAAAAGCAGATACCTCAACAGTGAGGGAAACTAGGAGAATTTTTTAAAAGGGTCCTTCCTCCTCCCAACAGCCCTTCAGCCTGTGAGAGCTCACTGCTAACCAGCTGTTCTTAATTGAGGACTAATTTCAGCTAAACACAAAGACCATGTTGTTTGCATCTGATGAAGAACAGCGTATTGCTCAGCCTTCTGCCCACGTTCCTCCCCAGAGCAAACCAAAAGCTTCCTGAGATGCCTGTGCTGAAGACTGGGGGTGGAAGAATAATTCCCACAACAGCTCCTCTGTTTGGAAAGGAAAAGTCTGAGTCACTTCAGGGAGTTCCCATTCACTCCTATAGTCTCCAGGGCAGAGAAGGAAAGTTTAAAGATAAACATTAGATGCTGCTAAACCTGTATGGCCTGACTAGGTACAGCCAGGAAGGGATTATTCACTCAAATGCCAAACGTGACCATGCTGCATCCTGCAGCTGGACTCCTGTCCTGAAGGTATCAGCACCCTTCTGCTGCTTCTTGAAAAAGCAGATTAAATAGCAGAAGGTAGTTTGCAATGTTACCAGCACTGCACCATGTTTGGGTTTCTGGTGCTGCCAGGTAGATACCCACATTTGGGTGGTGAATACCCTTCAGTTCTGAGAAGCTTTTCAATATTGTTGGCTCCTAGAATACTCAGGGGAGAAAAAGAAGGAGAAAAAGAAGGAGAAAAAGAAGGAGAAAAAGAAGGAGAAAAAGAAGGAGAAAAAGAAGGAGAAAAAGAAGGAGAAAAAGAAGGAGAAAAAGAAGGAGAAAAAGAAGGAGAAAAAGAAGGAGAAAAAGAAGGAGAAAAAGAAGGAGAAAAAGAAGGAGTCAGAGCTCCATGTGGCAGCAACATTTCCTTAGAAGAGCTGGAATTTTTAGAAGGCAAAAGAATTAGGTCATCAATGCAGCCTACCAGATGCCTGAAGTTTGCAGGGTTAGGACCATGGTCTACTGCACATAGAAAAACAGCAAGAGGTCCAACTTCTGTATCTGAGATCCTCAAAGCAAGCAGAGAGGAGCCTCCAGCCACATTTCTCTTGGAGCTTACAGATGGGCAGATCCCTACAGTGTGTGTGCAGAAGACACTCAGCAGCACGCTGGATGTTTTGCCTTCTAGCTGTGTAGTGGGGCCAGTTTACACAGGCTACAGCAGCCTTTCTTGTTTTCCCTTTATTTCTTATTTATTTATTATTATTTGAAGTCATTTTGCAAATGGGAACTGAAAACTTCTTCTTAAAGCCACCACAGCACTTTGAGGTGCTTCATGTAAGGGGGAAAGTTGCTCTTATGGCAGGTCCATGGTTTCTAAAAGCTCACAGGCTGTTGTTATCCCGTTACAGAATGAAAAGCAATTTCAGGTTTGTAAGTGGTGCCAGTATAAAACTAATTTAAATTTATTTCAATTAATAAATAAGTTTTTTTTCTGTTGGATATTTCAACAATGACAGAGCTAGCTAGCACTGCATTTAAAAATCATCATTATTAGGCTTCAACATTCAGTTGGCTTCCTGAGATCAGGAACTTTTGCTTTTGAGGATATGACTTCACCTGTGCTGCAGCGTAGCAGCCAGACCCATAAAGGCTGTAAACTCTTCTGCACTCAAAGTCCATCTTAAAATAAAAAATCCATTCTAAACCTGACTCTGTCTTCCATCTCTGTCCATTTCAACAGTGACTAACGGAGCTGAGGGAGAACTAATGCAGAACAACAGAAACTGTGACAGTTGACAGCTTCTTTCTTTGCCAACTCTCCTGTATTCAATCAAAAACAGGAAAAAAACCCCACAGCTCCTGAACACCTGGTATCACCCTGTAACAACAACACTGTAACACTTCAGAACATCCCTGGTAAGGGGTTTCCACCCTGATAGAAATGGATATTTCTTGAAAAGAAGTGTTAACAACTTTTTAAAGTCACTTACATTAAAAAAAAACCCTAAGTGTTAACCACTTTTTACCTTGATAATGAGTATTATTATCAGAACTGAGTAGGGAGAAAGGGTCTGGCTCTGCACACAGCACTTGGTGTATGACTCAGTTTCCTTACCTGGAGGGTGTTTTGCAGAACAACAGGAAGAAAAGCATTTTTAAATGTAGGAAAACAGACAAGTCAAGCTAAAATAAGGGATAATCAGGCTGACTGATTTAAAGAGATACCATCAATTTTAAAAGCTGAAGTACTGACACTGCAGGCAGCACCAAGAAACCAGAAGTTTGAGGACGTGGTATTTCCATTTGGTAGAACAACACAGATATTCTGTTGCTTTTAAAGGTTTGCACTTTTAAAATCCCTCAACAGCATCACTGGTGCAAAGAGTTACACTGACTTAAGTCCCACAGGCTGCCTGGCAGTCACCTGCAGTTACAACTTCTCTTTGTGACAGGATGTTCCTTAAGGTTCATCAACAGCATGGAGTTAATTTCACTCACACTCTTAAACCAAATGAAAATACAAAACCTAAAGCACAGCAACCAGTGTTCTTCTGTTAATGGGGGAAAAAAAAAACCCCACAGTGTAAGTTTTCATTTAGCTTGCTTGATTTTTGGTTTTCACCTAAAAAGTCGTAGCTTGCCATGGTTACTATTGTCACTTGAGAGAACTGTATTTAAAACAACTGCCTTCAGAGCATTGATTCCGTACCAAAACCCACAAACTTTGCAATATACCAACCAATTCCACCAGTAAAACACCGTTTCCAGTTCCAATGTCAAGCACGGAGGAGTCAAGGGGAACCTTTTGTTTCTCCAACCATCTGATGATACGAAGCATGCTTTCTTCTCCAAACCTATGAAAAACAAAAGCTGAGTTTATTAACACAGCAAAACTGTACAAAAGGAAACAGCAAATTTATTGCATTGCTCCCTCTCTCCAGCTGTTGCAAAGTGCCTGTTACTGAAGCATGTGGGTAACAACTGATGAAGTTCATGTTTACTTTTCTTAAATTAAAATTAATCACATGGCCTTAAAATTCACTGAAACACCAACTCTGGGAGATGAAACACTACATATATTAAAAAGGCCTCAGCAATGGCAACTTGTGTAGTTAAAACTGAGCTCAGAGACAGAATCACAGCATGGTGGGGGTTGGAAG